CTGACTAAATGGGGTGAGGGGACCCATGGATCCATGCCCCAAGATAGGGGAAGGAGGATAGGGAAAATGTAGGGAGATGGGCCAGAAAACAAAATAGCTGCAACGAGCAAAGGGAGAAAACTAATTTACTAAATATGACACTGAAATGCAAGATAACAATATAGTACGATTTGATTGGAATCAAAGCTGGTAAATCAAATAAATGAGAGAGAATGTCCAAAATCAAAGGCCTTACGCTAATGCCGAGGGCAAGATGGCTAGGGAACACACATCACAGAGATGAGCAGTAAAAGAAAGGGGCAATCTCATGACTTCCGTTCAGAAGGAAAGATAAAACTGCTCAGAAAATGACAACAGAACAATGAAGTCTTTCGGGAGATGTAGTTCTTCTCTTCTGAGAACCAGGTACCCCAAAATACTGATAACACACGGAACTGAAGCATTAACTCTTTAACTCCTCATGCATTACATTGTGTTGTAATGTGGAATATCAACAATAAAAACAATAAAATTGTGACAAGATCTGATTTGGGAGGTTGATGAAAACATGGAAGAGTGAGCACAGCTTCTGCTGGGTGCTCAGACCTTGCTAGTAGAGATTTTCTTGCAGGAATCTGCATTAAGATGTTCTGATTTTGGATACGGAACTTGGATTTCCAAAAACTTTTTAACACTCATGCACCAAAGACTCTTAAAACCCACCAGTGAGCCTTCCCTCTTATCTTCAGTTATTTTTAGGTCGTTAAAATTTACTAAGCAGAGAATAGAGATCACTTTTAAAAATGTAGGTGTGTTAACAAAAATGCTTTATGGGGATCTGTGTTGTAGCATGTGCTATTTATAAGTAATAAAGAGAAAGGCATGAGCTGTGAGTTGAGGGAGCTGCCTGATATCGCTACATTATTTGCAGTAGTGAAAACCAAAACTGACAGAAGAGTTGCAAAAGGTTTTCAAGATACTGAGTGGAAGGATAACATAATGACATGCAATTCAGTACTGATAAATGTCAAGCAAAGCATTTAAGGAAAATCATTCCAATTATGCATACATAATGTCAGGCTCTAAACTACTTGTAACTATTCTGTCTATTTTTTAGCATAGTTTTTTCTGTGAGAATGATGACTTAATGCTCAGCCATAATCAGAAAGATAGCTAGATTATTAGAAATGATTGGCAAAAGACCAGAGAGAAAAGCAGAAGACATCACTGTGCCAGGGCAAGTCCATGGTGCCTTCAGATCTTGGATGTTGAATACAGTTGTGGTCAATTATTCTCAAAGGGAACAAGAAAAAGTACATCTTGGTGATGCAGGGCGGAATTGAATAAATAAGAACTTCAGCTTGTAGCTTGTAAGTGGAAGAAGGAGTATAAAAAATAATGAACAGAATGAGAAAGACAAAAATACTGATACAGCTTCAGCTTGGAAAGTTAGAAATATATCTGAATACCTTCACTTAAATGGAGATTTGACTCCAAGTATGTCAGCAGCCATATAAAAGAAGAAAAAATGAATCCTTGCTTGAGTATTCTTTGTTTGAATCTCTGTAAGAGTACCAAAAGAGTAATAGCATGCTTCATATACAAAGCTTCCAGAAACTCATGCAATTTGCTGATTCATTAATTAAAATTATTATTTTTAAGTACTGGATACAATACTATTGTGTTTTTCTTTTTTACACTCCAGCTCACATCCATGTCTTGTTTTCAAATTTGCATGCACCCCAGTAAAAAAAAAAAACAAACATAAAAAAAACCTCAACAAACTCAGTGACCTGAATGGCATAAAGAGTAGATCGGGGCTGCAGAGTTAGGAAGTATAAAGCTGAATGTGATGTTAAAATACAATTTAATAGTCCCTTCACCATGTACATTCTGGTGTGCTCTTGCATCACAAAATAATTTTCCACAGAAATAGTGCCCCTGCAGCAAACTGATTGCGACGAACACCTGAACTGCTTATTTGCCAAGAATGGGTTTTGTGTTATTGAAAGGTCAGAAAAAGCTACTAAAATTATTTAAGACCTAAAGCGTGTTCTTTACAATGACAGTTAACATGTATTTACCTTGGAAAACACAACGGCTTTACTACATTAGGTTGAAGGAGGTGATCCTACCCCTCTACTCTACCCCAGTGAGGCCACTTCTGGAGTACTGCATCCAGTTCTGGGCTCCTCAGTTCAAGAAAGATGGGGAACTTCTGAGGCAGTCCGGTGATGGGCCACAGAGATGATGAAGGGGCTGGAGCATCCCCCTTTTGAGGAAAGGCTGAGAGATCTGGGGCTGTTCAGCCTGGAGAAGACTGAGGGGGAATCTCCTCTTATAAAATACCTAAAGGGCAGGTGTCAAGAGTGACAGGAAAGCAGCAGTAGACACAAAGTGGAAAACAGGAAGTTCCACGTGAACATGAGTAATAACTTCTTTACTGTGAGGGTAGCAGAGAAGGGGCTGCCCAAAGAGGCTGTGGAGTCTCCTTCTGTGGAAGGATTCAAAACCTGCCTGGACGTTTTCCTGTGAGACCTACTGTAGGGAACCTGCTTTAGCAGGGGGTTGGACTAGAAGATGATCTCCAGAGGTCCCTTCCAACCCCTTCCATTCTGTGAGTCTGTGATCTATGTAGAAAGACAACTGTTAATACTGTATGAAAATGAAAGTTCATCAAAATTGAAGTTGTATCATACTGCTGTGTACTGCCATCTTAATCGGTGTCATTCTGAGGTAATGCTGCTGCTAAATGATTTTTAATATTCCACATTTGTATGTTGCTTCAGAAAAATTAGAGATGCTCTTTTGCTTTTCTTCTCTAGTTTACTACTTAAATTAAACTTTTCATTTCAGAAACTTTGCAGTACGTTGAACGTATTTTTGGATTAAATGACCTGAAGTGCATACATTTTTTGCCTCACAGGTTTGTTATATAAATGATAAATTACCATTTGCAGAACAGTTTAGAAACCTGCACTAATGGATCTGCTAGACTGCAATGAAGTTTTATTTTTTATCATATTATATATTAACTGAAAGGACTGGGAAATATTTCAGAATGATAATGTTTACAAAATCATCTATGCTACATCACTACCTATATGGGTATAAAGGCTATCTGTGCTTGCAAGTGAAGATTGATTGCCATACCTCAAGCAGAGACCTTTACCTCTTTTATTGAAAGTATGTAACAAAGGCATCTTTTGGTAGTTTTTTCAGAAGTGAAAAAAAGCCAAAGACTAAATGAATCCTTTAAAGCTGGGAATTCAGATTCATTTACCAGAGACCACCAACTAACAAGGAAATAATTAACTAGAGTGGCTCTAGTTACTGCTGACTGGAGTCTTATTTCATTTAGTAACCCCTTTTCATTATGTTTTAAGCCTCTCTAGCTTTTTCTTTATAGTAGCTGCATAACTCTAGAGTTGTATCTTCTAGAGGTTAATCAATAAATCAAAATGTATGGGGAATTATAAGCTATACATTGCACCAAATCCTATTTGTGGTGTAGTAAAAGCCTATCTAGTAATTTTATTTGTATCAATAATTCCAAAGGTAAGCTGTGTATCCACAATGCTTACCTTCCTAAACCAATATCAATTAAAGATTTCAACTGATCATTAATAAGCAGCAAGGGATCTGTATTTTGATTATAAACCTCTTACTTCTGCAAAGCAGTGGAGACTGGCTATCCTAGAGAATTTAGGAAGTATCCCTTCAAATTATCGCTGTCTAGAATTAACAGAATTAATCAGCGGTATTTTCCATAATATTTCTTTTCTTTTGCTTTTGAATTCTACTTCAGGCCCCAGAAGTAGGATAAACAGTTTTCTTCACATAGTGGCTTTTTGCTTGATCTGAAAGCTGTTGTAGACAAAGGATCAGGTCTAAGTTATCATGATAAATGTCTTGACATTGTAGTCATATGGAAATATGTCATTCCAATTTGTCACGCAGTTATTTAATTTTTTGCTTCTCCTCCATATTGAAATCTCTAAAGCCTGTCTAGTGTAAATGTTATTTCACCAATGACTTAAGACTTAGTGATGTATCCTATTAGATAAAATACATAAGTACTCTATTTATTTATTTTTAAATAAATAATACTGATTTGATTTCAAATGTAACTAAGCTGACTATGACACGTGATTAATCTGTAATTCAGATTAACTCATGATTAATAAAGAATTGATTGAGGTTTTTTTTTTCTCCATAGTTCAAATCTTGACTCTGTAAACTTAAATTTTAATGAAAATCTATGTATTACCTGAATGGAAGTTTTATCAAGACTTTCTACAAAGCCTAACTATATTGCCTTAGAGCTTAGTAAGTCTTTCCTGATACATTTTAGCTGTATACAGGTTTCTTTAAGAGGGATGTTTCTTAAGATCATAGAACCATTTGAGTTGAAGGAGACACGTAAGGGTCATGTGGTCCAAGTCCCCTGCAGTGAGAACAGGGACACCCACAGCAGGGACAACAGGGACAGGTTGCTTCAGCCTGACCTTGAGTGTCTTGAGATGGGGCTTCCATGACCACATCTCTGGGCAAAACGAGCAGCCGAGCCAGCCAGGAGTCGAACCTAGAATCTTCTGATCCGTAGTCAGACGCGTTATCCATTGCGCCACTGGCCCTGCTTGATATTTATCTTTGCTCTACTTGATTTCTAGCTTATGGATTAAAACACTGGGACTAGTAGATACGCCCATACTCTTTTTGGTTACTTTTTTTAACATCTGCACTGAATCTGATATTTTAAATTAAAATTCTAGTAAATTCTAGCAAACTCACTATTTTTTTCTGTATAAGTACTTTACTGTCTGTAACTTTACAAACGCTTACCAGGGAAAAAAATTACTTTGTGGCTTTATAAGTGTGATTATGGATGAATTTCTATGATTATTCACCTCTTTGATTAAAGACTCTGACAGTGGAATAAATATGGATACATCTCTTTTATTCTTTTTTTCCCCCTGTGAATAATCTAAGCCAGACTTTTTCTTAATTCTCTCTTTTAGGTTGAAAGCTGCATCCTCCCACCACTAGTTTCTTTGGTCCACAGTCAGAATGGTAAGTATATGGCCACGTCATCTACAGTTTGCATGAATTCCACATTTTGTTTTAATTAAACTTCAGTGTGGTCACATTCTTGGCACCTTTATTTTCAAGTGGAATGGAGACTCTTCAGTTTGCGGTTGCTCTCAGAAACCACATCACTACTCTTAAACCACAAGGTTATGGCTGAGGAGAAAGAGGAGAGCCTCGACTCAAACAGGAAGCTTCTGTCTCTCATTAGAGATTCATTGCTGCCCCAGTAAGTATAATATTGCTGTTTCAGTTGGGAGAAAACTTGACATTCAATCCATTTTGACAGCATATTTGTTTTAAATGCCAGTTTCATGTTTAAGTGGCAAAATGAAAAAGAGGAATGGCTTTTAACTACTGTCAGAGTTCTCTGCCCAGCAACACCTCTCTCCTAGGTTTATTCATTACTTGGTTGTATGTAACAAAAACACAGTTTCTGTCTGACACTCATTTTTGCATCTTGGTGATACTGTGCCTCTGGCTACTCTTGTAGTGAAGCAAGTTTCCCTAGCTGTGATTTAAATATATTCTCCTTGTTCAACTGATGAAATTGGAATATTCCAACAGCAACATCTTCTGTATTTTGGATACTGTGCCCTCCTGGAAGATATTTAGAGATCATATGGAATGGCTTATAACTTTGGAAATGGGAAAAGAACATGATGGATTAGTCCTCCATGATTCACTCAAAGTTTATTGCCTCTAAATTGCTGCCCTTCCTGCTGCCCCAAGCAGGAATAAAACCCTACCCCAGTCCATGAAACTACAGCCTGTGGGCCAGCTGTGACCTGGAACTTGATATATATGGCATGGTAAAATAAGGCCTGTCATTTCAAAATGACTTGCAGGTGAGCATAAAGAGAGCTCTGTATGTTATTCTTGTGTATACTGTGAGCTGATAACATCTCAGTAGAGGGAGAGAAAACACAGACATAGGATGAGTACAGTAAAGATGAGCCTTCAGTTATCTTTCATGCTATTCCAGGATAATGTTACAGTGTATTTTAATGTGTGGTCCTCAGAAGTTAGTAGCTGTCAATACTTTGCTGCCCTAAATGAGGAAATTGTTCTCCACCCTTATATTAAGTAAGTGGTAGAAGGGTGGAGGAATGGATGCTGGATTATGATCAAAAACTCAGTGCCTTCCATATAAATGAGGCTGTCTCTTGCTAATTGACTCACATTCTTACGGTCTGAGGATTAAAGTTCAGTACATGCAAGATGTGTAGTATTTCCTTCATGAGAGAGAATGGGAAGGAAGTCACAGATGTATAGAGAAGTTTATTTTAACACTATTTCTTGCACTCGGAAACGTGGAATTTATTACTATGGATTAAAATGGAAAGTAGAAATGTTACTAAAGAATAGAGTTTTATGCATTATTAAAAGCTGACATAGTTTTCTTCAGATTGGGAAGAGTCTGAGTCAAGCAAGACCAACTTCTGTCTGCTTTGAAACTTGCCCTTTGAAGACATGCCCATCTTATAAAATGTTTTCTCACTGAACTGAGGGAGGGGTTGTCCTAACTGGGAACTAGAAAGAAAACAAGAAATGTACTGCAGTTTCTTCTGCTAATTAGCTCGATTGGGTGGCAGACCTTTCCAGTCTGAAACTAAATGCAGCTGTACTTTGGAGAATTCAGCTGTGATATATCTTTGGGTGTTTATTGTAGATGTGTAAAAAGGGTCTTGCAGTAGCTCAGAATCCTGGTTCCAGGCTTGTTTTAAATATTTCCTGAATCAGTTCCTTTATGTCACCAGTGAAGATGATGATACTTGTATTTGAAAAGCATTTAGAGATTATCTTAAAAATATTTAAGGTTATAATAATTTAAATATATTGGAGCTAGTTATAAACAAATTTTACTCTAGTTTAGGAGCACAGAAAAAGAATATATAATTCAGAAAGAATCAACCAGTGCTGTGTACAATACATTACTTGAACTTGTCTGTTGAGCTAATGCTTAGTAAATGCATTCAGCTTTGGGGAGCAGGTAGTCAGTGCAAGAAAGCTCAGGTGGAACAAAAAACATTGAAAGACTAATGGAAAACTCAATTTTGATTTGAAAGTCTCAAAACTGTTTCGAGAGACATTAGAAAAGGAGACCAAGAGAAGATCAAATCAGGTGCTTTGAATGTCAAGAAGATACTAAAGACAAGTTTTGTTCAACAGTGTTCAACAGGTATGGATCAGAAAATATTTATGGGAAGTAGGAATGAATCCTCGTATAGTATCTACAGTTCTCAAAAGAATCTGAATGCAAAGGGCACTGGCTTCAAACTACAGAGGGAGGTCTAAGATTAGATTCAGCCTTATGCTTAAAGATACAACATAAATCTCTACCCCAAGAAGTAAGAGTTGCAGGAAGACTCTGGGATAGAAGGTAAAGAGAGTGATAGCCTGTGTTTGGAGACTGAAGAGGTGTTTGCTGAAGTTGTTCAGCTTTTCTGTTCTTGGACAAAGGATGTGACAGAATGTGACTTAGATGGAGGGCAATCAGAAGATGAGAGGAGGAATGCAGTGGCTGTTCATGGGCACTCTGTGGAATCCTGCTTTTTAATAACTGAGAGCCACTGAGGGGCATCTAAGCTTAACAGTGCAATTTGTTTAAATGTAAAATTGACCCATGAAGTAGAATTTTGGTCACTCTGCATGAATATAAATTGTTATCTTTTTGAAATAAATGCAGGACAAAAAAAGCGATTACTACTTTTTTTTTAATATCTTTGCACAATAAATAAGGTAGTTCTTCCATTCAATACTTGTACACTTGAACATCAGAAGATTAACTTGCTCATAGGATTTTGTTCAAATGAAACTGTCATTTCATCTCACCTCGGTGAGCATTTTTCTGAGCATCCTGTAACCAAAATGAAACTTTCTTCTATAAAAAGTATTTTCCTCATTTATTTTCTATTTCAGATCCATATTTTTTTTAAATCAGAAATTCAAATGCCATCTCTTTCTCACTTAATTATTAATTTTTCTACTTATTCAACATAGCTAATTTGAGCCAGTGACAGAGAAGAATGTATTTATTTAAAAAAAAAAATTATTTCATTTCAAAGATTATGTATCTTGTTCTAAGCAGACTGTCAAGCCAATTCTGCAAGTACAAAATACTGGATATTTGAGACAATGTGTAGATAAAATGTTTAGTACTTTTTAGGAGCTGAAGAGAATCCATATTTTACAATCCTTAGGCTCACTTCTCACTTGTGGAGAAGACTGACTAAACTCTTTGTGGTGCAGTACATATTGTTTGTACATTTTAAAATGCTCTTTGAAACTGCTGTTACTCAGTGAGTTTGCATTTTGAAGTGGCAGGAAACCCACTGGGTGAACTCATTCATTTAACAAAGTCTTTATAGCACAGAACATTTCCCTTTCACAGCAGATTCACGTATTCATAGTTGATAATGACCTTTATTCAGGAAATGTGTTTACATTAATTGCTAAGACATTCATTTTAGTAATATGTGCTTTCTCAGGTGGTATTTGGTTTGTTAGATCATTGCTCCTTCTGTATCCTTTCTAATGTTATCTTTGGGGGAAAAACAGAGTTTGATGTTAGAAGGAATTAAATAAGACTTACTTTTTGAACTCCAAGGAATTATGATGCTAAGTGTGCAGAATAGTAATAATCTCTGTCAGATGGAATACACAGGTGGTTTTAAAGAGTTTTAAATGGACTCCATTTAGGGAAGATTAGGTATGTTTAAAAAAAAAAAAGTATATTTATATAAACGTGTTTGTATAAAGGAAGTAATGTCAGAGTTTTAAACTAGCATGCCTGATGCATTATTACTGCTAAGAATTAACGTTTTTGAGTGCTAAATCTTAATCTTACTCAGTGAATAGAAGACTCCTGATACCTAAGTCATATATAGCATTTCACTTATCTCAGAACATTTAAGTTGTAGATCCTGAAAAAAAAAAAAAAAAAAAAAAAAAAAAAAGCAGGTAGTTCCTTTACGCTTGGCAGGAATATGTATTGCATGCATGCAGTGTTCCAGCATCAGTGTTTACTAATGCATCATGGTATATTTTCTACTTTCATGAGGAAAGGGAATTTTTAATTATCAGTGAGAAATAGTTTTCCTTCAGTAGCTGAAATCTATTGTTTGTAAAGGAGGAATTCTAGTTGCCAGAAACGTGAAGCTAACGTTGTCTAGTCATTGGCTTGTAACATAGGTTCTCTAGCATGTGAGTTCTTTACAGGTCTATGGCAGCACATTCAGGCTAATACAGAGAAGCTGTGATGTGCTGCTTGTAGGCTGTGTGCTTGTGTGGGAATATTTGCCTCTCCTGAAGGAACTCCCACAGGCTGCATCAAGAGCGTGGAGCTTCTTTTCTGAGAGTCATCCAGATGAGAGATGGAGCCAGAAAGTACCACATCTCATTCTACCCTTCTAGATTTCTTTCCTGTGTAAATCAGAGTGCTGAGGTGCAAAGGGGGGAACCTTTGTTCCATGGAAGAGCTGGCATACCACAGAAGGTACGTGCCAGCTTGGTGACAGGTGATGCAGGTTCCTCAGTTCAGTCACGATGAGGAATTTCAGAATGTGGAGCACATTTCTCAATTTCCTTGATTCTTCACCTCCTCCTCTCCTCCCTCCTTCACTGGAACCCAAGAAAGGAGAAACGCTAGGGAAGCATGTTGGTGCACAAAATATGATAATCCACTTTGTTTTTCTACAAATCATGATCTTGTTATTGAGTAATTCTTCATGTTTTTCTCTTACAAATCAACACATCTTTGCTTCCTCTTCTGTTAACTTCCACATGTTCAGAGTAGCTCTGCTTATATAATCAGATTACAAGTTTTGATATGGTTGCATCTGTCTCCTTTAAGCTGACATCTCTCTCTCTTCCATCATTGCATCCTCTTGCCCTGTAGACACACTATGATTTTTAAAAGATAAAAATAATCCTACTTATTGAATAAGCATTACTGGAAAACAGGCAACAACAGCAAGGTCCATTTTGTTTATCAGCAGCCTGCTTCCCTTTCCTTTACCCAGTGTAGTGGAAATGCTGAGTCACGGCCTGGACTTTGATTGAACACCTGGTGGGAAGGCAGGGCCAACCCAGGCGAGCTCAGGTGCAAGCAATGAACCTGAGTGATTGGAAGGGCTGGAGCCAGATCCACCCCTTCCCAGACCTCATTTAAGGGCTGGCAGTGGAGGTGAGGGTATCTTGCTAGAGATCCCTACCTATCTGAGGCCTTCTCAAGGTAAGCAGCTTTTTTTCCTTAGTTTCTGCATCAAGGGCTGCTGCATTTGGGCTTGTCCTCATTTGCTGCAGCTGAGGACTTTGCTACCCTGCTATTATTGCTGTATTTTCTATTGCATTATAGCATTACACCAAGATATTTTGAAATGTTTCGTAATGTTTTTCTTGTAGCATTATCTTGAATGTTGTAGCGCTGGGTAAATGTTATTTTTGTGTTGTTCTGTTCCACATCACTTGGGTAATGCAAGTATGCTGTAGTTAAAACAATACTGAATTAAATTTGAAATGAAATACAGAACTTAATGCAAATGTTCCTCAAGTAAAACATTTGAGGAAAAGTCAATGTTTAAGTAAAATGTAGCTCTTAATCGTGTGTGTGTGTTGACTGATGGTCTTTCTGAGCTCTGGGTGAATTTTCCAGCTAATACTGTGAGGCTTGGTTATGTCCATATGGAAAAAAACATTTGTTCTTTTATTAACACTGTTTTAAAAATTAATCTAAAGCTGTTTTTAAATCCTGCTTCTATGTTGGTCTTGTTTATTGTTTTGTGAACTAACAGCATTGTTTTTCTATTGTGGTTTGAAATGTGAAATTGTTGTATTCATAAGATAATCAATTCATTAACATACAGCTCTTGATACTGTGTTTCTAAAAGGCTGCTTCACTTTCCCCCTTCAGGTATGAGTATATCCTTATGGCTCCAGACCCAGTACCACTGTATGCTCTGAAACTGTTGGTGGCCCTGACTGAACACAGCCCTTCTTCTGTGAGGTGGTATAATTATATCTATTCTTGGCTATTCTGAGTTATTTCTGTTTCAGTGTCGTTCATTCAATTAGGACTTAACAGTAACGTAAATCTCACTGTTATTACCCTGTTGACTCACACTGAGGAGATTTAGAAAATATTTGGGTATTTGTGATAGAACATAACCTTATGGCTTTTGACCTACTTTTATATAGTCTGATTTTCTTTAATATTTCATATTCTAAATCTGTATTAGAATCATAGAAATCTTAACATGTTTAAAGAAATTTAAACAATAACTTTAATACCCTTTATGTAACTTAAGATACTTAGTTTCTCCGTAAGTATTACTAACCTCTTTAAGTTCCTGAATATCCATTGTAGTATTCAAGATAACACTACAAGAAATATTTGGTATAGGTACACTCAGTAGGTTTCAAGACATCTTAGTGTTTCCTTCCTGTTGTTCAGGCTATGATGAACACATAACTATTTATCTCCTCTGATCTGCCCAGGAAACTGGGGCCTTTTTGTATTCACTGTGTCTGATAGTATTACAGTTTAGAAGTCACAGCATACCATACTGTCTTGTTTTGATTGATTAAAATGAACACTACATTAAAAACAAAAAACCATACGAAAAAGAATTTTAATTGTTCTCCCACTGCTTTTATGGCAAAAGATGAGAACATCGTTTTTCATCCTCTGTGGTATTTTGGTGCTTTTAGTGTACTGAGTAGACTAAAAAAATTAACTAGGAAATTGAGTTACTTGACATTTTAAGGAGCTTGAATACAGAGAAGGTAGTATTTAATTCTGTTTTTATTGTATGCAGTCTGTTTACACTGCTGCAAGCTTTTATGCTTAATACAAATAGCAAAGCTTTCTATTTTTAGTATTAACCTATAGATATTCTAGTTCTTCTAGAAGAAAATCTCTGTAACCAGAACACTGGATGTGATAGTAGCAGTCTTCCTCTGTTTAATGAATACTCTTTATTCAAGAACTGTGTGCCTGCCATTGTACTTAATATAGTAAGTCAATGGATGCAAACTCAAAGTATAGCAGACAGGAAATGTTCTTTTCTTTTGTTATTAAAGATAACTGTGGATATCCAGTTAACTGTTAATAATTTTAAATACTACTGTTTGGTACTGTTATCTAAGGACCAGCTATTATCCAGATAACACATCAGTAATCATTCTTACATGTCTTACTGACTAACTTTCACTGAATAATTTGTTTTGCTTGATTTCTGAGTGAGCAGAGTTTCTACAGTTCTCTTGTCTATTGTTTTCTGGGTTCTTTGGCTTCTCTGAAGTTAGCTCTTACGATGCATTTTCATCACAGATTTGATGTATCTTCATGTTTTTACAAAATTCTACTAAAGAAAGCTGGAACCATGTATCTGCTGTAATAAACACTAGGTGACAATTGATTCTATGTTGGTTCAGTGGCTAGAAAGTGGGTACATGTGTACTCAGTGATCATTTGCTCCCTTTTGCCTTTCAGTAGGCACATGGGAAGAATCCGCAATTATTGCGAGAGGTAGTTTGAGTAAAACTGGACACAAATCTTTCGGGTTAAATGGCTTTGTGAGGAAAGCTACTTTATTTTAGTACTGTTGATAGTGATGATCACTTTCTATCAAGTCTCTGTTTTCTTTAAGTTTATACTTCATCCATGACACCTGTCTTTCTAGGGTGAAAGCTTTTTCCCTTAACTTCATTTAAATGGGGGGAAAAAATGGTGGTAGTGGAAAAAGTAGCTGAAAAATGACAAAAGTTAAATTAGCACTTAGGAGCTATTTTTGGATGCAACAAGTTACCTTATTTCAATGTAAGAGTGAATTGGGATGAGGGTGTGGATTACTGTATTTGTTTGTGCCATAAAGTAACTTGTCCTCAGACACACTAAACTAATTCATTCTTTTTCTCCCCATCTCTTCTTTAGTCTTATCATATTTCTTGCTTGTTTCTCATGTTAATCTTTTTTTTCCCCATCATCCTCAGTTTCTTCTTATGTGTTTCCCAAAAGAGACTTAAACATTCAAGGAATTCATATTTTAGCATTTGAGGAGGCAGATGCACTCCAATGTTAGTCTCATTTGTTCATAGCTGACACTGTAAATCAACAAACTTGTAACAATACCAGTAGAAAAGCTTTAAGTCATCTTTTAAGCAATTTAGAACACTTCAGTATGACAACAGCACAGATGTTCAAATATTATATTTTAGTGTCTTAAGCTTATGATAAAATACCATTGCATACTTGCATAATCAATGAATATACATATGTTATAATTAAGAAATATATACAAGAGTTTGGCTAGGCAGGTTATTACACCAAAAAAAAAATAGGTTTACCCCTCATCCTAGGCTTGCTTGAAAACTCCAAAAGGAGGGATCTCTAGAAAAAAATCCTTCCCCACTGGTAGTCAGCTCTTAAAAAGATCTAGGAGAGGTGCAGCCAGGCTCCACCCCTTCTGGTAGCACAGCTGAATTGCCTTCACCTGTGCTGCATGGCTGACATAGTTTGCCTCAGGTGATCAATCAGAGGTTCAGGCTGTGATTCAGCAGTTCCCATACAATGCTAAATATATTTTAAGTGTCTTAAGTATTTAATGTTTGTGAGAATACAAAAAATACCTTGTGTAATTTGCTGTTGCTCCGCTTTTAGGGTTATTTTGATCATTGTGTAGTAAAGGAACTGTTCAGCTCTGTTGCTTTTCAGTTTAGTGATGGAGATCTAGTTATATCCCACTAATGTTCTGCAGAACTATATCTCTCACAAAGGTAAGTTCCAGCACATGTGAGGTGGTAGTTGTAAAATTCAACAAAGCCCAACTAAAATAACAACATCTGAAGGTACAAAACTCTGTTTTGTGGGAGATGAATATTTTGTTGTTGTTCATTTTCTTTTCAAGTGTTATTAATACTCATGAATCTAGTGTTTCTCTTGTATACCTTTTCCTTTTTATACCATGCAACAGCAGTTTTATATATCCTCAGCATTTGTTTAGTAAGAAAATGGCACATAGTGGAAGGGTGAGTTTTAAATGGAATTTGTCCCTTGATTGCCTATTTTATGCTTGAATCAAAGCTAATAGTCTCGCCTTAAGTACTGTTGATAGTATTGTCACAGCTCTTCTAAAAACCTATTGCCTTGTATTTTTGGTAATTTTTAATATTCTATGTTAAAAAATATTGTGGACTTTAAGGCCAATATGGTAATTGTGGAGTTTGCTTTTAGCTATTTTGAAATGGATAATTTTTAAAAGGAATTGCTGATTGACATGTAGCTTAATTCATGAACTGACTTATCTAAACTACTGGAAATTTGCATTAGGTTTTTTTTTCCCTTTGTGTGTTACTTTTAGTATAGTTTACTTAGATAAGGAATTGAACTCTTCACTACTGGAGCAAATGTCTTTAACAGTATAAGTTTTGATTCAAAGAAGTCACTATTATTAGGTATCTTGTCTTTTCTGTGTCTGTCAACTCCCGTATATATTATAAGTACTGATAGGAAGTCAGTGTTTTTGTTCCTTTGCTTTGAGGTTTTTGTTCCTGCTGTGAATCCTATGTGTTGCTTTGTTGTGTTCTGTACTGATCAGATTGCTAGTAATAACTGTTGATGGGAATTTCTTAGCTTCTATTAATGTGGCACATATTCACTCTTAAATTCTTACCTAACAATAATTTAGAAAGTTGTTCTTTTAAATGAACTACTCCAGGAAGCTTATACTGGGTCATGATTGTTAACTTGACTGTCTCATAGGTGATGTTAGAAGGCATAACTTTACTATATGCTAAGATTTATTTTTCTGCGTGTTCTCTTATGATGATACTTGACTTGTCTGTAGTTGAATACTTAAGACATTTGAAGATGTGAATGTACCTGAAAGCTATTAGACTTGAAACCAGAATCTGATTTTGATGGATTGCTCAAATAATAAAAATTTTTATTTGAAAGAATGAAGACAGGGAAACGCAGTGAAGGTAAGAGGCCAGTTAAAGGAGTATTGTGCGCCTGTAGCCCAAAGTTATTGATGTTTGGGCGGGTTCTGAAGCTGTATTGTGAAAACATTGATGCTCATATAGCTCAGTTAAAATGCCACTGTAAAACTATAGGTCTGAACCCTAAAACTTTATAGACAAATGGAGGCGAAACTTTTATGAAGAAATATGTCAAAGACCTTGAATTCGCAGAAATAGAGTTAATCTTGCACCATAGCTATAAAGGAGACAAGAGAAGTGAGCTCTTGAGAGAAGCAGTAGAACTCTGTGTGCCATATGCTTTTCCATGTTGCTCAGCCTAAGTAACTTCTGAGCACTTTTTTCTTATGTGACTCTGTTCAGAAAAGCTCATGCTTACCTGAATTCAAGAGCTGAAATTCATAATTTCATCAGACAATAATGAAGATAGTGGGGCTCATTCCAGTATTCTTTATTAAAGTCATTTCTCAAGAGACAAAAAATTAAAACCGTGACTGGTTTTAGATTTATGATAGATTGAAGGACAGGAGGAAAACAAGAAACATTTTCCAACTCCCATCTAAGTCATAAATTTCCTTGATAAACATTAGACACCAGTCTACAAAGGGGAGAAGGTGACAGAAATCAAAATGGATGCTGCAACAACAACAAAAAAAACTGCTGCTTTTGCATGCCACAGGTCATCTTGTAACTGTGAGAATGAAAGATTGACCACGTACGCTTCAGGAGATATTCTCTTCACTAATTAAAGAAAATCTTTATTGCAGTCTCTTCAGAATCATACAAGGTGCAGTTCTCAACTTCATTTACAGTATTGTTCTTAACAATGCGTTATCAATTAAAAGGCACTGAAAACACACTTTAGAATCAGTGTTAGTAATGGCCTGTCATTCTCACACACGTTTTACGCTGTCTTTTGTGTACACCTCATTATATTCTGAAATGGTTTATCTATTCATACCCTTCATTTCAAATAACAAAATAGCCTCAAGCTTTTCTTTAGTGTTTGTTGTGGTGCATGTGATT